CTACGCTTACACTTGGCTTGCACTATTACACTACCGTGTCTCGTGATATATATGTGTGTGGCACTATACCCTCGATGATCATCATCTCCGAAAAACCCAGCGGTGTCCGTGGTTGGATTTGAACTTGGTTCTTTTTGTTCATTTGCTTACTGAGCAGCGCACATTTCTGTGCGCCACGCTCGCCACACATCAATAATGTATATATAAACCTTACATTTATTTATACCGAATCTGTTGTCGTTTTAAAAGCACGCCTGCGACGTCATTGCCCCTCTAAGATAGAAAGTATTCGTACTCTTATTATCATTTTGTTATTATCCCACACAAATGTGATTTTGGTTAATTTCTTCGTAGAGAAAAATTGAATATTTAGAAACGTTTAGATAGATATTTACCCTTCTCTTATATCTATTGTGGAAATTATTCTATAATCTCCATACATGAATATACCATCGCGAGAAGCCTTTTAGCGCGACTCCGCTTTTTGCGACTCTCCGGCGCACGCGAATCATCCAGAATACTGAAAATGTAATGCACATCCATTAAACGCGTCTTTAAAAAATTGCGAACATCTGTACACGATGATACGACTTTATATTTAATCGTGAGTTTTTTATGCCCGCAATGAGAACTCTAAAGCACGAACATATAATTACGATGATTATTTTTTCGTGCCTTGTATTTGAATAGCACTATATTGGCCCGACAACTAGCTTCTCGAATTAATACAGCCGCGATTTGTAAAAGCAACGGCGACTTCCTACCGATCGAACATTTGTAAGTGCAACTAGGGTTTCCCAAACGCGAGATATCTGATTGGCCCATAATAAACTTATACGTGCCTTTAAAAAGAATCTTGATGTAAGAAACTATATTAACGTATTTAGCTACTTTTATTTATTAACAGCAATTCGCTACTTTATTCGGTTGGTGATGTTACCAATTCTATTGGTAATATTTTAAATGATCGTAGACGTACCTATCGATTGAGCGACCATTCATTAATACTCATTAATTTAAATTCGTAACATATATTCAAGGACAATTCTTCTTTATAATTCATATCAATTTTTAAAATTTTCCCAAAAAATTGAGATAAATTGCCAGAAGAGATATGTTTAGTTATCAAACTAAACGATTATTTGATACACAAATAAATTTGATTATAGAGAATAAAATACGAATATTCCAATCTTCTTGAAAAATGTAAAAACATTTTAGGCTTTTTACCTTGCAAATCGTACTAAAGAAAAAAATGATTGTCCTATGAGTCAGACTAAATATTATTCGAAAACTGCAACTTTTATGGGTCGTAAAAACGATTTGAAGGCACATTAAAGAAGAGACCTTGATATTTTAACGGCGGTCGTGAGACTTCTGTGAATAGCCTGAATATCGACATTAATATAGCACGGCAATGAAGCAAGAACTATATATTCTCAGAGAGCGTACTTTATTACTATATCTAAAGAAATAATCACGTCGAGTGCCGTCGAATCACCGCTGCCTTCACATGCAAATAACAGCATCCCAAGAGATAATTACGTCGCGCGATTTAAGAACGACACTAATCATTTTGATTCTTACGCGAGGAGCGTCGTTGAATGCATCTACTGTGCACAAAAGCACAGATGCAACCGTTTCATTCCTCTCAGTTAAGTTTTCTCACGCGATTCGTGCAAAACCGCGGATTCATCTCGGGAATGTTCCATTCCTGTTTATGTCTTCGTATAAGATTGTTCGTTCGAGTCCCCGCGTTCTCATTAAGGGATCGCAGACGACAAGATAAAATCCAACGACGTCGACTTGCAAACGAGAACTGAATTCTTAATGCGTGCAAATTAATATTATTTTATATAAAATGGAAGAAGTTTGCATTAATCTGTAGCTGTTTATTACGAATAGAATGCATCGGTGTTACATTATTGTATTTCTGTTAATTAAATCTTACTTGCTGTGGATTTTGAATATTAAAACCACTATGTGGGGTATCACAAGAGTGAAAAAACGACGCTAATTTCTGCACTGATAGATTAACAAGTAATACAAGATATTCTATTATTAATTGAAACAATATTTTCCCTTGAACAATATCTTATACAGATTATCTTAACAATTTTAACTTGAGAGTTTCTTGAAAAAAATTGCAACATTCGTGTATACTTATAAACTCTGTAAATAAGCTCTCGGAAAATTTCATTAAAAAATAACTGAGAACATATTATTTATTCCAACGGGGAAATTCATTGCCGGACTAAGTTTTCTTTTGCGAGACCCGGCCTCTATCGAAGGCTTTGACTACGTGCAAACGAGCGTTTCTCTGTGCTTTCTCAACGCGGTCAGCCCGATGTCAATTGCAGCGCGGCACGAGAAATATCCATCTGAGAGCTTTTTTTTATCGCGGCTTTCTTCCACCGCGTGACAAAAGAACGCGCGCACAGTCGAGACGGATAATCGCGCGGCATCCCATCAGCGCGGCGTCGTTTCGAGAGTCCGTCGTCGCCAGGCGGTTTGAGTGCTCGGCAGAATGGAGATTTCTTGGCTCTCGGAATACAGAATGGCGTATCGCGGTGCCATTTGTCAGTAGTGGTGGAGATCCATCCACTTCGGGCAGCGCGTCGTAGGGAAAAAAACCTCCGGTCTCGATTCCGTGAGGAAACTTCACGGGAAGATTTGAGTGGAGAGAGCCACGGTGGTTTACGAACACGCGTCCCCGCTGGCTCGACGGTGAATTTAAAAATTGCGTTATCCCCTCGAGAGTTTTATCGCGAGGACTGTCGTCACGCGTGTAACATCTCGGCATACACGTGCCGAGCATCGAACGTGTCCGTTATTGAGGATATACTGTCTTATCTGCGATCCTGTCGCTCGCGCCTTATCCTTTTCAACGCGCACATTGCTGCGAATTGTCACGCTTCCTACACTTCGCCGTTCGTCGAATAGAATCTCGAGATTGTGCACGCTACATCGGAGAAAAGGACGGTGGAGGAGGAAAGTTAGCGCCCGGAGTGAGCAAACTCTGTAATACTGTTCTGCAAATAATGTCGTGCCACGACTATTGTAAGAAGAGCAGCACGGGCTTGATAACGCAATGAGAAGGAAAATAGAACGAAATATGTGATTTGAAGAGAACGCATTAGACGATCCCTGTCGCATAGTAATTTATGATTAAAAAATTCGAAAGTAAAACAATATTCAATTTACAATTTTACATATGTCCACATATTTCGACGTATTG